CCCCTTGCGCCTTGCCCCGCACGCACATCTCCTCTCCGCGGGCCTCTTCCGCGCCGCAGGAAGACCTCCGAGGGTTTTGGTTTGGTTTTTCTTTTTTTTTTTTAATCCTCCACTTCTTCTCCTTCCCCGCGCAGCGGTGACACCCCGGGCCGGCTCAGGCTCTCCCCTTGGGCAACTGGGGGGTCACATTCGATCGCCACCTTACAGCCGCCGGCGTGTCCCCTGCTCGCGTGTGCGCCCCGCACTTCCGCAAGCGCGGGCACGTCGGAGAGGCCGCTCTCGGCCGCCCCGAATAACCCCCCTCGTTGGCTCGGGTGATTCCCCCCCGCATTGAGCCCCATTCCCCCCCCCGTACCGCAATTCCCGCGCGGATCCCGCGTTTCTTAACCGCTTAACCAGCGCTAATTAAGAGACAAGCCAAGCGAGTGCCTGCGTGTGTCCGTGCGGGCGTGGGCACGACGCACACTCCCGGGCTTTGTCGTGCCGTGTCCGTACGTGCCGTGCGGGGACAAGCGCTACTCCCAGCGCTGTCCCTTCCCTGCCAGCGGGCCCCCGCAGCCCTTCTGCCCCTCTTTCCTCCCCCCGCTTCGTTTCCCCCGACCCCGATGCCGGCGGGGAGTGCCCCGACGTGGGCTTCCCGGCGGGGTGGCCACGGCCGGGCCCGGCGTTGCGGGGTGCACCTGTGCGGGGGGCAGAAAGCTGCCGTTTGCCGTCAGCTCTCGGGAGCTTTTGCCATCCCCGGCACGAGTGGCAATTAACTCAGTAACTAATAAAAAAACCAAAACCAAAACAAACCCCAAACCCCCGAAACCAAACCAAGAAACACACGAAACAAAAAGAACAAATAAAAAGGAAGGGAAGGGAGCCCCGCAGGCACCCTTGGGGAAGCTCGGCGCTCAGAGGAGCTGCCGCCCCCTGCTCTCTCCCCGGCCGTGCCGGGACCCTCCGCCGGGGTTTCCCCGCCGGGGTTCTTCCCCGGGAGAAGGTGCGCGGAGGGACGGGCAGGCCGGGAACGGCGCTCCCTCTGGAGGGAAGGCCGGCCCGCATCTGCCTCCCCGCAGCCTTACCGGGTGCCGGCCGAACCGCTGCCGGCGAGCGCGGCACCGCGCCCGGGGGAGCAGGGACGGGTAGGGCCGCCGTGCCGCCTGCCCGGGGGGGAGGACCCGAGGCCTGGGGGCACGGGGGGTAGCCGGAGGGGGCGGAGGACCCTCGGCGAGGCAGCCGCGAGGGCTCCGGCGGCGCCGAAACCCTCCGGTTGCTGCGGGCGGTGCGCCCCGGGGCTGCGGCGGGCGGGT